TTTTTTTTTTTTAACTTAAAATTCGCACACGATTCGCTTTTCTTTTTTTCCTTCCCCCCCGCTCCGCCCTCTCTCCGCGCCCCCCCCCCTTTAAAATGGCGATAGGTTATATAAAAATTTAGCAAAATTTCTATATATATATATATTTATTTATTCGTTTAGTATTTTATTACACATTCGTGTTTGAGTATCCATTATTTAAATTATTATTATTTATTAAATAAATAATTCTTCTGCTGTTTGTTTATAATGCATAAATCACGTGATTTAATAATACATTTCCGCGCATAAATATTAAATAATTTAAAAAGCAAAAAAAAAAAAAAAAAAAAACATTTAAACAATAAAATTTAATTATTTCGTTGTTTCAAATTCATTGATTAAAAAAAAAAATAAAATTTTTATAAAAATTTTTTCTTTCCATTTTCTTTCGATTTTCCTCTTTTTCTAACGATTATGATTTGTGTGTGTGTGTGCGATTTGTTATTTTCTTCTTCTTCTTCCAAAAGGTGGAGAAGGAGGAGTAGGAGGAGGAGGAGACATTCGTAGTATGGAAAAATATAAAAAAAAAAAATGATAGGAAAAACCGCGCATGCGCACACGTTTCCATTAATTAATTACGAATCGATGGGCCAAAAATTAGGTTTTACCCTCGGTGTAAATTGATAATTTTCTGGATAAGGTCCCAAAAGCATTTCGCTGAAACAAATAATAATAATAATAATAATAATTAATCAACGACTTTGGAAACGAAAAAAAAAAAAAAAAAAATTCCCTTTTTTTTCTTTCTACCTTATTTTTATCCAATCCGTCGGATTTTGACTCCCGAATAATGTTTCCATATCATCTCTCCCTACGAATTTCGGGGATTTATCATTTATTTTCTGCGGGGGATGTTCTAAAAGACCTACAGGTATGTACCGACAAAGAAACGATAACCAATCTAATAAAAACCTTCTCGTTAATTCGACACCTTTAAACAAACAATACAGAATAAAACTCACATCAATTCCTTTCTCACAATAATAATAATAATAATAATAATAATAATAATAATAATGATAATACCTTTAGTATCACTTCCCCAATGTTCGAGTCCGTAATTGACAAATTTTTTTATTATTTCAAAACGTTCACCCGAACTTATATCCCAATCCCTTTGTTCTTTCAATTCGGAAAATATCCAAGGTTTGACTAAAGCTCCCCTACTTAATAAAACACCTGAAATCATTAAAAATATTATTCGACCGGGATCCTAGTAATAATAATAATAATAATAATAATAATAGTAAAACTAATACCGGAAAGATTAGGATAATTTTCTTGTATATCGAGATAATCCGTGTAACTGAAAACGTCACTTAATCCGTAAACTTTTACGGGTGAAACTTTTTGTGCTAAATCGTTAACGTATTTCCAATCCATTTGTTTTGTTTCCCTATTTCTACCTTGTACCTTAAAAAAAAAGGAAACGATGATAAAATGGGGAGCGGGGACGGGGGAAATCCGTGACAATGAGTCAGTTAATTCTTACTGTTAAAAGTGATATTTCGCAGGATTTGTAATTTGGTAAAAATTTATTTGAAATTTTTTCATCGGAATAATCTCCCAGTCTTGTTGTAACCGTTAGAGGAAGACTAGAAACACGTGACAAACATCTTACTATTGTTTCGACAACCTTTTCTCTTCTCACTTGACTAGTAGTTCCTCTGGGACGTACCATCTTGAATAAAAAAAAAAATACAAAACAACCTTAGGTAAGTAATAATTTTTGTCTTTGTCGTACAAACTGTTTGTTATGATTATGTTTGTTTTTTTCTAACCGTATCGTTTGGACTACCGATGCATATATCGATAAAATCAACGTTTGTTTTTTCTTCCAATAATTGACCGCATCTCGTCATTATAAAAGGATTATTACCAAATAATTGTATACCAAATAATTCTTCCGTTTCGTGACGTTTTGTTAATAACCATTCAAACGGTTGACTCTAAAAGAATAAATAATAATTGTAATCACAAAAATTGTTTCGCGCAAACGGGATAGAGGACATAAACAAACAAACAAACAAACTTGAAGTATAGAATTGGCGACAACTGTTTCACTGCACGTTACATCCGCACCAAATTCCTTACAAATTCTCCTAAATGGCAAATTTCCAAAGTTTGTTAAAGGTGCTAAATATAATTTATCCCTCCAATCAATCTTTAAAATGAAAATAATTAATTAAAATAATGTATTATGTATAATATAATTAATAAATAAATAAATAAAACCTTTTTCTTTTCTTGTAAATGTAATTTAAAGAGATCATCATCGGGACATGGTCCAATAGATTCTTCTATTAATGGTGGTATTGTATCATTTACAGGAGATATCGTTGGAACATCAATATCTTCAGTAAAGTCGATTTCACTGTAACAATGCAAGGTAAGAGTTTGATAATTAAAATTTAAAAAACAAAAACATTTTTTTCTTTTTTTGGAATCTTTCAGCAGGTGTCACAAGAAAGAAAACAATTACCCTAAGCCCCAAATTGTAGAATTGAATGGACCGAATGGAGGTACAGGAGGTGGAGGTTTAACTTTTGGTAAAACATCCAAAACCTCTTCTGATTTTTTAAAATCGTAAGTTCTTTTTCTGAGATCATTTTCTATATCTTTTGTGTAAAAATTTATTATTTTTGGTACATTTTTTTCATAATGTGCTTTTATCGATTCATCGACAATATTTCTTCCATTTTCTGTCACATGTTCATTTCCAAACCTACATGATATTCCTTTAGGACAATGGCCCCTAACTTTAAAAACATGACCTAAAACATGACAATACCAATGAAAATAATTTCAATTTGGGAAATTTTGTAAAAATTAATTTTGTTATAAAATTACACTCGTTTCCAATATCAGGAGGTTTCGATTGAAGAAATTTATTAACATCATGAAGGTATTTACACCTTAATGATTCACAAACTGGATTAGGTGCATTTACTGGTACGTCAATTAATGTTTTACATAAATTTTCATAAATTGAATGTCTACCTCGTCCCTTGTGTCTAGGATTTTTATGAAATTTTTTATTTTTACTTTTATTAGGAGTTTCATTATTAGTTGTATCGTTATCGAGTTTTGCTTTTTTATCAGGAGTTTCTCCATCTTCTCCTTCCTCTTTAATCGATGATGTGTTTTTTAATGATTCTATTTCATCTTTTACGAGGAATCTAAAAATTACGGATTTAAAAAATCAAATATTAAATCTTTATTAAGACTCAAACAAAATTTTTAAGTTTGTTTTATGTTTGTTTTCATTAGGTAATTTACTTTAAAATTTTTAATTTTACTTATTATTAGTATTTTTAAAAAATCTACCTGCCGCCAAGTAGCAAGTAACTAATAATAATAATAATAACTCTTTTACAAATATTTTCTTTTCATTGCCGTACAATGCAAGTCGTGACGCATTATTCATTCAAAAGTTAATAACTTTACGATTAAGTATAAAATAGTATTAGTTTTATTGACCAAATTCGAATAAATATAGTCAATAAATATAAACATTAATTATATGGCGGCAACGCTTGAATACACGAAACAAAATGGCTAAATACACGATTCAGAATATTAATGTAATAGAATAAGAAAAAAAATAATTTCGTTTTACGTCAAAAAAATATTCCTCGATATTTTGTAGATAGTCAAATGGTTAAAATACACTTACTGCGGTTTAATTAATGCTATATTCATTTGGTATTTTTTAGTGTCCGCCATTTTATTAGTGATTTAAACTGAATTTCGTACGCGGGAGGATTTCCAATCATAACAAATAGAAATGTCAGTTGAATTTTATTTGGCGCCATATTTTGTAGTCTGCTACATAATTTTCGTTACTTGACAAAAACGAACGCGTTCTTTTTTCTTTTTCTTTTTTTTTTTTAATTTATTAGTTTATTAGATTAAAATAATTAAAAGTTTTATTTGTGATATTTGTGTTATACAAAATAAAAATCTATTATTCATTTTGGAAAAACTAATTAAAATAAAAAAAAGATTTAAAGTTTTGGAAATGCAAGGGAAAAAAGGTATACTCCATATGTGGAGTGTCAAAAAACTATTGTTGAAAAAGTAAGTTTTTCTTTTTTTTTTTTTTTTTTTAAGGTTTAAGTGATCAAATTAAGGTATTAATTAAATTATTTAATTAAGGTATTATTTAAAACAAAAAAGAGAATAACACAATCCTTTAGTTTTTATTTAATTTTATTTAGTCTATAGTAGGCAGTGAATTTACATAAAACACAAGCACAGATCTTAGTGTGCAACAATTTTTTTTTAACAATTTATAACCATTTATGAATACCGTTTCGTTAAACTTTTGTTATGTTTATTTAATTATTTAAAAAAAAAAAAAAAACACATAATTTCTTAATAACCATTATTTAAAATTTTTTTTTTTTTTTTTTTTTGTTTCTCTACTTTATAATAACATCACTTTTAATTATTAATTAAATTTTTTAATGTTGAAACAATCAATCAATCAATCAATCAATCATTCAATTATTTATGTGTTAAACAAATGTATGCATGTGATTACATGCAAAATTATTTTATTAATGTTTTTATGTAAATAATTGTTTTATAATTTCTTTTGGTCACATGAACAAATTTGAAAAATGAAAAATTAAATGAAAAATTTATTTTCCATCGCATGATAATAATAATAATAATAATAAAATTATTAATAATTATTAATAATTTAAAAAAACATAAACATAAACATACAAATTTTTTAAATAAGCTTTGAATTGTTTTTATTGTTTATCATCTTCATGCTTAAATTTTTAATAATTCTAAATAAATTCTAATAATTTTTTTTTTTTTCAAATAAATTTTTCATTTATTTATTAATTTAATAAATTATTTAAACATTTTTTATTTTAAATATTATTATTATTATTATTAATTATATAATCAACGATGAAAAATAATTTTCTTTTAGTTTTTTTTTTTTTTTGCATAACAAAAAAGGTTGTTTTGTTTGTTTGTTTGTTTTTAATTTCTTTCAACAAAAAAAAAAAAATAAACAAATAATAGAGATGTGTAAAAAGCTAATAATAATAATAATAATAAAATAAAATAAAAAAAATTAGGGTAATTATAATAATAATTTCGGTAATAAATATAAATATATATATATAGGTAATAACTTTAAAATATTAATAGAACACAAAAATAATTTTTTTTTTTTTTTTATTACTTTTTCTCTTTTTTTTTTTCTTTCTCTCTCTAAAATAGGCTAAGGCGAATTTTTTTTTTAAATATATATATATATATTTATTTAAATAATTTTTATTCCCTCTCCCGCATAATAATAATAATAATAATTACATGGGAAACACACAATTTTCTTTTCTTTCAATATTATTATTATTATTGTGTTTCTCAAGTATTTATATAGTAACATGTTAGCACCTTCATTATATATTGACTTAAGCTTATAGCAATGCCGCCCTATTAATAAAAAAACCTTTTCCCAAACGATTTTCTATAAAAA